ACGTGGTATTGTAAGCTATATAGTTTGACCATACATGTACATGATGATGTCTCTGATACTTTCCAAAAGCGTCTTTCTAATACCCTCAGTAAACGGGATGTTTTTCGATATTTACCGAAGCTGATAAATCACCATGGTAAGGCGACGGTGTTCTCCAAATAGCTCCCGTTACATCAACGCATGTCATAGCGGTAGATATCTTGATTCCCCTATGTAGCTGGCCGTCGCCAGCCACATGAATCTAGGCAATAGACAATTACAATGTATGGCAAGTATTAGTTTATAACAGATCTATTTTTATGTTTAATTCATCAGCATATTTTTTTTAGAATCTTGTCAAATAATCAAACGTAAAAACCTACCACTGCAAATGAGCGTCGATCTGTCAAATAACCAATAGCGAAAGTCTACAGTTACACATTAACTTCGATGCATCAAATAGCAAGTCGACATCTGTTGATAGATTATATGCTATTGTTTCGCAATAGCATATAAGTGTCGATGCGTCAAGTAACCAACGGCAAAAAAGCCTACAATAGCGTAGAAGCGTCGATGCGTCAATAACCAACGGCAAAAAAAACATACAATAGCGTAGAAGCGTCGATGCGTCAAGTAACCAACGGCAAAAAAACATACAATAGCGTAGAAGCGGCGATGCGTCAGGTAACCAACGGCAAAAAAACATACAATAAGCGTCGATGTGTCAGATAACCAATGGCAAAATCCTATAATTGCAGACAAATATCGACTCGTCAAATACGTGAGTAATCAAAAGTAAAAGTAACAGAAAAAATTAACCAGCAGCAAAAAAACTACAATGGTACCACTAGGATGCAGTGATCATCACATAATATACCATTCGGCGGTCAAAAGGACATGTTAAAAATTCCCATTTGGCTATTAAATACGGAAAGTTTAAAGGTGTTGACCAAGAGAAGCTTGTATCTGACATGGATAAAGCTCCATGGAGTCGTATTGAAGTATTTGATGACATTGATTATGTCTGGTCTACATTTAAGGAACTGTTCTTAAGTGTTATAGACAGACACTCACCTTTGACTGAGAAGCACATGCCGAACACTGGGTTAATGACAGTAATTTAAATGAAATGTACAATCGCGATTATTTACACAACAAGGCAAGGAAGTCTAAATCAGAAAGGGATTGGGCTAATTATAGAGCATGTTTAAATCGTGTACTATCCCAAATTAGACAAGCTGATTATTTAGAGGAAGCTATATCACATAATTCTAACAAACCCAAAGATGTATGGAAAAAGAAGAATTTTTACCCTCTAAAGAACTAATATGAATGTCAAACTTAATATTGATGGCAAAACTGTCTCAGATAAATTGGAAGTTGCAAATATCTTTAACAATTTTGTCTGTAGTATTGGTGCTGAAATAGGCAATGAGTTTGACGACAGTTTACCGATTGTAATCAAATTTATTACTGACAAACCGTATGAAATACCAACCATTAGTTCAGATTGTGTATCTAAAAAGATAAAAATATGTCTGTTGACAAAGCAACCGGTGTAGATGGTGTATCTGTAAAGCTATTCAAATGTGCCGGTGACTCTATTGTACAACCATTGACTTTTTGTTTAACACAATATTAAAAACTGAGAAGTTTCCAACATAATGGAAAATGGTAAAGGTCACACCCATATTTAAAACAGGTGACCATGGTTCCGTTAATACAGGCCTGTGTATGTGTTGTCGGGTCTCAGCAACATACTAGAAAGACATGTTCACAAAACTATTTAACTTGTAACAATTTTATAAGTGATAGTCAGTTTGGTTTCCGACCTCATCACTCAACAGAAACAGCCCTTTTAAGTGTTTTAGAGGGATGTGTCAAACATATTGACTAAGTGTACCTTACTGGTGTACTGTTTATTGATCTGTGTAAAGCATTTGATAACGTAAATCACAAAGTACTTTTACACAAACTTAAGTCATATGGGGTATCCCAATCAGCCGTACAGTTTTTCCATTCATATCTTTCTGACATACATATGTATCACAAGCTTTAAACTATAAGGGGATACTATCTGAGTTCAAGCCAATTAATATTGGTGTTCCACAGGGCTCAATACTTGGGCCGCTCCTTTTTATATTATATGTAAATGATTACCGAGAGTGTTTTAAAAAATCTTCTATTACCATGTATACAGATGACACTTCCCAAGATGTGAAAGGTAAAACTGTGGAGATAAATACGAAATAGATTTGGAATGTACATTTGTTTGGATGAGAAATAACAAATTAGGTCTCAATCACAGTGTATGATGAAAGGCTCTGTGCAAAAACTTTTCAAATGTAGAGATCTTTCTTTGAAATTAAAAGAAAATGTTATTGAGACGATATTGTGCGCAAAACTTCTAGGTGTAAACATAGACAAAACTTTATTAAGGAAAGATCATATCGAAAGTGTTTTTAAAAAATTATCAAAAAAAATGGTGTACTGAGAAGACTTCGACCATTTATGTCTGACAGTTTTATACTAAAGGTCTATCAAAGTATTGTCTTTCCTCATTTCATATATTGTTCAAGTATGTGGTGCATTCTTACCAATAAAATGTACATTTTTATGTAGCAAAAAAGAGCTGCCAGGATTTTATTGAACATCAAAGATATTTTAATTCCTTCTTGTACTCTTTTTAACATTCTCAAGTGGAGGCCTATATCTGATGTTTATGAGTTTAGGAAAGCAGTTCTCACTTATAAAATTCTAAAACGGCAAGCTCCAAATGTTTTAAATTCCATGTTTTCATATGTAAGATATGTGTCTCCCAGAAGTACCGGAGCTAAAAAAAATGTACCACAACAGATAGACTGTATGTCCCTTAAGCAAAAACAAATATTTTTAAACGCTCTTTTAGCTACAGTTGCTCTGTTTTATAAAATGACCTTAGTGATGTTATAAAACAGTCGTGCAGTGTAGATGTTTTAAAAAAGAAATATATAAAAATGTTTTACAGTAAGTAATAAGTGTGATACATTATGATATCTGTGATATTTGTCAATGTGTATATAAATCTTTCATTAAGATTGTATTTATTATCATTCTACCATTATAATTACCTTATCAAGTCTGCACATGTATGTATAACAGGGCCGTATTGTAAACTAGACTTTGTCTAAATATGTAATCCTGTACAAATAAAAGATATTATTATTATTATTTATTAAGTAATCAACAGCAAAATAAAATACCTAAAACTGCATGTAAGAGTCGATCTGTCAAATGCCCAGCAGTAAATGCATACAATGTCATATTAGCGTCGATGCGTCAAATAACTTACAGTAAAAGCCTACAGTTGCAAAAAAATGTTCGATGTGTCAAATAAACATTAGTTAAAAGCATATAATTGCAGATAAGCGTCGATGAATCAAAAAACAAATGGTAAAATCCTAAAAATGCAGATAAGCATCGATAAGTTGAAAATCAGTAAAAATATACAATTGGAGATGAGTGTCGCTGTGTCAAATTAACAACAGTAAAAACCTAAAAGTGCTTGTAAGTGTCGATGTCAAATAACGGTAACAAACCTACGATTGCAGATAGGTGACAATGTGTCAAATAACAGTAACAAACCTACGATTGCAGATAGGTGACAATGTGTCAAATTACCAACAGTTAAAGCCTACGATTGCAGCTCAGTGTGAACGTGTCCTATAATCCAAATTAAAGAAGTGTCAATATGTGACAAGCCCATTATCGGAAGCCAAAAATGGAAGAGAAGTGTCAGTGTGCCAAATGACCAAACGTAAAAAGCCTACAGTTGCAGATAAATGTCGATGTGTCAAATAACAAATGGTAAAATCCGAAAATTGCAGAAAAGTGCTTATTCTTCAAATAACAAATAGTAAAAGCTTCCAATTGCATGTCAGTGTCAATGTGTCAAATAATAAAACATGCAATACTGAGTTGCAGATAAGCGTCAATATGTCATATAATCAAATGTAAAACCCTACAATGGTAGATAAGAGTAAAAATGTAAATACAACAAATATGCAATTATTTACATACACTAATATGTGCAAATATAAACAGCTGATTTGATCCCTACTTGTCAATGGTCTGGTTATTCTAGTTATCTTAAGATAGCCCCAGAGGGAGATACGGATATATTTATTAACGCTTGATTCCGTAACGAATGACACGTTTACAATTGTCGAAGGTTGAACAGTAATTAGCTGATCAGATGGTATTCAAATCATAAATGACGTCACCTTTATGGTGAATTGATGATAGATTGATTCTATGCTGTATTTGAGTACTCGTATTTCTCCCCTTACAGCCGATTAGCTTGTCATTCTGCTGATCCCATTAGAAAGCCCTTAGGATGTTCGTTAGACATACTTTATTAACGGTGAAGCATACTAGGACAGACTTCATTAGGTGACATGTCTGCGGTCGTTTGTAAGCGTTCTTTTGTCTTGTCATATCTCCTGTTCCCCTTCCCCCTCCTATCGACATTCATTTCAAAATATTAACATTATGTATGCTTGGACCATTGACGAAAATGTCATTTATGTTTAGGTAACACTGGTGACCTCATCATATTGCGTACTGATACAATGTCGGGCAGCATGACGTAATACAGGCGTAGTTTGTTCACCGTCCACCGTGAAGCAGCTCGTAGTTCATTGTTATTATGCTTATTATAATAAACATTAAGCAATATTACATTCATGTTGAAGATCAAATACTATGTTTAAAATAAATGAAAATGGCGAATTTCGTGTTATATTTATAAAAAATTAGTTTTGAAAATTGACATACATTTGATTGTTTTGTTCTCATGCTGTTGCTAGGACCTCCAACAGAAGTTTCCTTATTCCGGTGACAATATTCTGTTCCTAATGCGTTGCCCCTTGTATAAATATTTCATGAATCTAATGTTGTTATGACCTCACAAATGTTGAAAACGATTTTTTATCAATAAGGTCGCTTATATATTTATATTGTTTTCTCTCTTTATTTTACAGCCAAGATGAAGCTCAAAAGATTGATGAAGAATTATTCGAGGAGTACAAATTCAGTGTTGACCAGTTGATGGAGCTGGCTGGATACAGCTGTGCCGTTGCCATAGCAAAGGTTAATATCAACTTCATTTGATGTTTATTTATAAAAAGTTTAATTTATTTAAGTTATTTAATTTAACGGTCAATTTTTGATTTTGTTGATAGCAGACATAAGTATACACTCTTGGAAAATATAATGCGTGAACACCAAAACTGTATAACATTACTTATGCAATGTCGATTCCACTGTGTCCTCTTTTAAATACCCTTGTTACCAAGGTACAAACACACGTACTAACAACTACCGAGATACAGAGATTATTGGTTATATAGCATGGTCGCTAGGGACCGTGAAATATGGCGCAATGTAGGCCAGAGCTTCAAATGTCCTGGATAATAGGTGTATTTTTGGAAGGTGCAGGTATTTGCTCCACATTCCCTGAAAAATGCTAGAATATACACTTTAAGACAGATAACATGTTTTCTTTTCTATGAAAAACTGTTACAGTGATTTGATATAAGAGGGATTGCTTCGAAGTTTTATAATGAAGAACTGTTTAAAAAACAAATATTGAAGGATTGTTTCAGAGTTTTTATGATTAAAATTGTTTTTTTTAAAAAGGACGTTATAACGATTGCTATTTTACGATATAAATATTACTCTGAAACTCTGGATCACTAACCCTTTTCCTAAACATTTCATTTCGACCTTTAAAGTTGCAAGAAAGTGCTTGATAATACTGAAGTTCATGTTTTTCAAACCAAATACGAACTTAGCTTTCTAGAAATACTTATTAATAAAGAAATAATTAAAAACAAAAAACACAAATGTTAAATTCATAGCAGCAGATGATAAGCCTGAAATGTCAAACAACAGTCGCAGACAGCGATATACCCCGCCCCCTCTCCACCCTATTATTTGCCTTTGTATTCATGGAGCGCGCGTTTTCTGTACTGTGATATGGAAAGTCCTATCTGAATTGCTAGCCCATTGGATTAAGTATGCTTCCTTTTACATTGTAACCAATTTAGATATAGACCTGTTAAGTGCTGAATTCCAGAAGATGCAACTTCTGTGTAATTTTGTCCAGACGCAGTTATCCAGTCAGCCTGTACTACACATTTACATATGTATATAACTAGACGATTATTACGTCTCCTGGGTATGGTCAATCTATTTTAGGCCCTCTAGGAGTGCAATCATTTGTATGGGTGTATTAATGAAAAAGTGGGCACTTGAGACAGTAATTAGCACATAGATGGATAGTTATACGTCGGTAACAGAATACGTAATGACCATCACAAAGCCTATCTTCTCGACCCTCTTTAACGAAACCATAAAAGCCTAACGGACAAATATGCATCTTTCATAAAATAAATTGAAAGCTAGATTTAAGGAAGAAAGTACCACACTGACAAAAACTGTAACTAGGTTGTAACCTGCCATAACATTGGTTTGGTTTCAACCAAACTTGATATGTGCATATATAATGGCAAGGTTCGGGCTAGGTTCGAGTATTTTTGTGAGATATATATATATATATATAAATATACATAAATGTTGAGCTAAATAAATTTGATTGGTTAATTGGTTTACACAAAGTAAATGGCTTAACATGGTTTGATTCCAACCACATGTGGCCTGACGATACATATTGTGACACACATGAAGGTTTATTGCCCCAATTAGGTATGCATATCAATCTCAGTACGACCACACTTAACTTCGACAATGGACAACAGCTGATATCATATCGTCCTGAAAGCTAAGGATAAACTCTAGGAATGTGTTTGTTTAAAAATCGAAACATATCAGTTTTCTAAGGGAACAGTGACCTGCATTTTGACTTAATAATCGTGAGCAGACCTAGACGCAAATCCAAAGCTGAACATTGTTTTACTTTCTGCGGTAGCATCGGATGACGAATCTAAACTCACATATTGTAATTCATCAAACTAATATGGTCTGTTTTAAAACTGGTTGATTTATATTTGACCTTTACTCAAAGACTGTTCAGGTTCTTGAATACCCCCGTAATGACATATTACAGACTAACAAATATTTCAACCAAGTCGATGGCGGATCTAATTATAGAATTCCCTAGTTAACAAATCTTCCGTCTTAATCGAGGTCAGACATTGATTAGCATTTTGAGAGGGTAATATCCATTTTTATTAACCCCATGAATACAGGATGCGGGATAACGATAGAGGATATTGTACATTACAAAACATCTATGTACTCTTCATGAGGTGGGTGGATAGCGTAATGACCTGCTAATGTCGGTTGTATGTGCAGGGCTCTAGACACCGATTACAGACCAATGCAGGCGCATTTTGATATCACAATTATTCATTTATAACAGGGGCCTGAACTACGATCCTAGTTCCAAAAAACAACATAATCACGTGGTTTCGTTGTAGAACAAATGGAACTGGGAACGGACCATCGTGATGACACGAGAACACATTCCGAAAACAAATTTGATTTTAATTGTACCTGTACCACACTGTAAAAACACAAGGATACAATGTACCATATCGTCAAAACAGACACAAACTAAACATAAAGTCAATTTAAAATTTACAACATCATCAACATACCAGGATAAAATGTACCACATCGTCACCAAATAAGGGCCAAAATGTACCGCGTCGTCAACATACAAGGACAAAATGTACCGCGTCGTCAACATAATGGACCAGGTGTACAACATCATCACCATATAGGGACAAAATGGACCACATCGTCACAAGAACAAGGATAAAAATATCACATCGTCACTATACAAGGACAAAATGTACCGCATTGTCAACATAATGGACCAGGTGTACAACATCATCACCATATAGGGACAAAATGGACAACATCGTCACAAGAACAAGGATAAAAATATCACATCGTCACTATACAAGGACAAAATGTACCGCGTCGTCAACATAATGGACCAGGTGTACAACAAAATGTACCGCATTGTCAACATCCAATGAGTACAACATCGTCAAAATAAAAGGCACGATGCGAAACAACGTTAATACAAAGAACTCACAATGCGTTCTGCAGACCAAACAACATTATAAAAATAAATGCACAAGAATATGGCTTTGTCAAACATTGCTATTTTAGATGAATACAAAAAGGGGAGTGAAAAATTGTGTATCTTCACTATCCCTGTTCTTTACTACAATGCAACATAAAAGTTTCATCCAAACGCATGAGACCGACGCGTGATTATAATATGATCAAAGATGATAGCATCAACACCATTATCGAACTCTAGCGGTCCAGTTATCTGATTGTAAAATAATTGTGATGACTGAAGAATGTTTTTCTTTTCTTTTTTTAAAGTTAATGGAGCTCTTTCATCAGAATATCAAACGATGAGGCCAATGAGGCCAATGACACAGTATGATCGCTTTCACTTAATTGGGTTCTGATTTACGAGATTGCGAATTAATTGTCCAACTTTTATTTGGTGGTAGAATTGATGCATGCTACTAATGTTGTGGAATCGAAATGTATACTTTGTCAATGTTTTTTATTTATTTAATAGTTGAAGTAGTATATTGTTCTATTGTGTTGGTATTTAATGGAATACTTTGTCCAGTCTTTTTGTATAGAATAGTTGGAGAAAAACATCGTTTATTCTTGTTGGTATTTGAAGATGACTTCGTTCATGGTTCTTTTTGTGTATCTAATAGTTGTTATCTAATAAAGGAAGACTTTATTTATTAGTTGGAGTGATACATTGTTCTATTTTGTTTGGTATTGGACGGTAGATTTATCCGTGTTTTATTTTATCTAAAAGCTGAAGTGGTTCATTGTTCTAATTTGTTAGTATTTAAAGGAACACTTCGTCCATTGTTCTTTAGTTTCGTATCCCAGAGTAGTGATACATTCTAATATTTTGCTGGTAAAGTAGATGGATCCATGAATTTATTTGAAACCAACTGATAGTAGGCCTGACATTCAATATTCTATTTTGTTGGCTTTTAGTTGAAGCAGAGACTCATGTTTTGTACATTATGAGTATTCGAAAGTAAAATTGATACATTGGTCTGCTTTTGTTGGTACTTGATAGTAGGCATGTTACATGAAAGAAATTGTTATTTACTTATTGACGGCATCAGATGAGCTGTAAATATAACAGTAAAACCAACATCATCAACACGATGTGCCTGGTGTTATAACAAAATATGTTTGGTTTTTAAAAATACAAATGTTTAATATATAAAAAATAACAACAACATAACCGACATCATATTGATAACGGTTCTTTGATAAATAAGGAAACACTTCGTTGCAAGCTCCTAGTTCTTGTCATTTGCAGTACAATACATATACTTTATTGAAATCAGTAGCACGGAGTAAATAACACATTAAAAATATCAATTCTATTATGGAAACGTCGGCAAACTTGTTTTGGTTTCGTAATATCATTTTGGAAAGTATATGGTGGATCAAACAAAATTACATTAAAAGTGGCTGACCCCAAACCCTAATAGTGACGACCTTAACAACATAACAGTTGGTAGTAAATAAAATGTTTGAACCTCAAAATAAAAAATCAGGACAGCCTAACGATAACAATCATGTCTTTACGTCAATTCATACAACAAACCTCAGGGGAAAAGCATGTCTTTCAGATATTTATACAGGCTCGAAATAAATCATTTGTCTTGAGATCATACATTGACGGAAGTATTTTGATTTATCTGGGTTTGTTATAACTACAGCGATTGCTTGATGTGGAGAGTATACTAGCATTTTTGCATGCTTGGACACTCATGGTCTGTGATAAATAAGCACTTGACGGGAATTCTCTCCTCTATCGATCGCACTTGTCACACAGAAGATGCTGCCAGAAACACAAATATCTTGGTGATCGAGTTATAGCAATGAATGATGATGCTGACATCTGTGAACTATCCCCGAGAATAGGAGTTCGATATCACTGATGATACACAGCAGTGGCTGTTCGAGTAGGCAGCAACTGTTTGAGATGTATCGTTTACGGCATTAATATTTCGTTCTGTCGTTTATGTATATGTTGTTGACATCTAAATGACAACTCCTGTACTCTTCGTGGGGTTTTGTTATCTTTCTAGAGCACATGGTTTCAGCTCGGATGTTAATCGATGCAGTCTTACTCTATACCGGGAATTTTTCGTCCAGTAGAATTTTCGCCCTTAAACGGTAAAATCCATTTTCGGCGAATATTAAATTCGCCCTTCACTTTTAATTAAGTTGGATATTAGGCTGTTTACAACTGTTAACTGTTTTGGTATATTGTCCCTCATTTAGGAGGGGGGAGGCGAAAATAAAACTGCAGCGAAAATTTCCCGATGTTCAGCATGTTTTCTTCCTTTTTGAGGCAAAGTCACAATAATTCCAACACGTCCTTGTTCTAATTCTCTGATTGTATACATTATCGTTGTTCATAAATATCAAAGTTTCTTTCCAATATAGATTTTAACACAGCGTTCGCATAGATTGACGTTATCGGACATGGAAGTGAAGACATCATTGATCGCTGCCTGCAGTATACTTCCGACCGAATGAAATGCATTTATTCTTCACATAATGGTGATACGAAACCCATTTGTTTACAAACATATTTCATAATGCGCCTTTTTGGAGACTGATCTTAACTTTATTAATTTCAAAACAAGTGTAAAACAATAAAGAAGCTTCTATCAACCCTATAGAAAAAAAAACACAAAAAGCCAACAACCGACCGCATCAGCACCATAATTCAAAACCGATGAAACAGTGGGAAAATATGAATACAAAACATTTCACGAAGACCTTTTAACAGTATGAGGAGATTGTGACTATGTGTTTAAGAAGGATGAGTGTCTTTTTCTTTCTCGGCGACATCCGTATTTGTTAATCCAAGTCCAAATCCTCGTTATTTTACGTCCTAAACGTGGGAACTTTCATCAATCACGTGCCACTGTGGTGTAAGTGGTTTGATTTTTATTCTGGATTTAAAGTCGCTAATTGCTGTTTGAAATGATCGACCTGATTAATGCAATATATTCTGAAAGCGATTTTCCGTTACTATGATGAAACTTACTTACATTTCAGTGCTACCCTCTTGAAACAATGACACGTGACAACCACGCAGTGCTTGTTTGCTGCGGTCCTGGTAATAATGGCGGTGATGGCCTCGTCTGTGCCAGGCACCTCAAGATGTTTGTAAGTATTAAATATTATTATTCATTAAACACCTTTACATTACAACACACTCACATGTCAACTTATCAGCAACAAAATTTATGTTACGTACACCCTTCTCAATCATAACATACATGTATATTAATAGCTATCATGGTTGAAAGATATCCATAGTGAAATGAATAGATAATACCGTCGGCAAAGTCGTTACCGTCATCCGCCCAAGTGTTTCTGAGCAATAACCCGAGAAGGAATGCTTTGCTTTTTACAAATTATCCTACAAATATATTTACAATAACCATTACCTGTTTATGTTTGATTAATTTTGTGATTGATTTTTTATACGCCCGTCTTTCGACAACTTTTCCAAAAGTTATTGCCCTTTGTTTATTTCAGCATTTGATTTTTGTCCAGCAATCTCCTCTTACTTATTTCAACGAATCTCTTTGAAACTTGGTATACATTATAATCATGATATGAAGTTGTGTCTCCATTAACAGAATTTTGATTCAACGATTTTTGCAAAAGTTATTGCCCTTTAGTCATTTCAGTATTTATTTTTTTGTCCAGAGATTTTCTCCTACATTTTTTATAGCATGTCAGCTAACCACTCTTAGAATGATGCAGATCTTATTTCAATGTAAGATAGTATATAATACTAAATGGCATTCGACGGGCGTATATTGTTCCGCACCGCGGTACTCTTGTTATATAAATGTAGATGTATGCGGCCATCTTTGTACAGATATATTTCGACTATAGCTATTGGATGAAACTCGTCAGGTATATTTTCAGCTTTCTGCCCCACCAGAGTTTTGCATAAATGATGCGGTTCTTCCGAAATTATTTGCTAGTGGCTTCTGGATCAAATCTTTATAAGAAATAATAGGTTTTAGATGAAAAGTGTCTTTGATACTTCTTTTCCCATGTCCCGTTTGCAAGTTTTATTCTCATTAACCTATTAACAGTTATGGTCATTTAAGGACGTGCCAGGTTTTGGTGGTGGATACAACCTGGAGTTCCCGTAGAAAAACCACCGACCTACGGCCAGTACCTGGCGACTGCCCCACGCATGCCTCGAACCCGCGACTCAGTGGTGAAGGGCTAGCGGTAGCAGAATGTCAGAGTCCTTAATCACTTGGCCACCGCGGCCCCTTTCGGATAACATCTTTCAATAAAATGATGAGGTTGTGATAAAATATCCCTTGTACATACTTACTGCCAAAGTCCTTTGCCAAACCTCGATGTCTGGCATCACTCCCAAATATGTAATTATATTGATGCCAGCTGACTGCTAATGCAACATCAGATATGTTGTAGTTATTCCTTCCGCCTTCACGTGCAATCGACCATCCTCCCACCAAAGCTGCAGCAGGCGATGCACCCACTTGTTTAGTCAGCAGTTATCATATAATGTCACATTGATGTAAGCACTTTGACATCTAGTTCTTGTTCCACATGCCCTTAGCTGTGGCAAAGACACACAATCCGATGTAAATTTGATGTAAATACACATAGTACCATTTGTCAACGATACGGTCAGTGATTTGTAAATATTAGTTAATCATTTTATATTTCTATTTTTAGTTTTTGTTGTGTAAGTGTGCTGTGTTGTTCTGTGTCTCGATAAAGGAGCAGATTGCACCGTAAATTGACAACCTCTTATTGTCTTCACTGTACGAATTTCTCCTTTATCCCATATGAAAAGTTAAGTCATTTGTATCCTTCAAACATAGGTTTGTAAGGATCCAATGTTATATATTTACATTCTTGATGTTTGTTCTGTATATGAATCTACCAACACGATTCTCGTGCAACCAGTCAGCTGATTTCACACACAATGACCACTTCATATTACTACGCATAGTACCGTTTCTGAGAATAGTTATCTCCTCTTCTCCAAGATAACGTAGTTGCGAGAAATAATAATAAACACATAAGTGGTGCAGCATTGTACTATCATTAAATCTATTTCAGTTGAGACACAGAAAATGCTAGAAAGGGCCAACCAATCTGCCACTTTGGCTAACGCGCTCCACAGGATATGTAGATCAGCTACTGCTATTCATTGCCGCAATGTACATGAAAAAAAATCCATTCAATCCCTATATGGGAATTTATCATTGATATTACTTCTTTGATCCATGTTTAGCATTCGTAGATAAAGTGTTAGTATTTTTATACATATCTGTAGAATGTATTCCTAGATATGTTTACTTATTTCTATATATATTTACGTGTTCGTGAACATGTTTACGTATTCCAACACAAACAACATATAATCACCCTGAATGTCTTTGCTATAAATTGACCATATTAAATGCCTGAAATAAATAATCTGATTGGATCTAAATGAATATCAGGTAAATTCTGAACGAGATAGGATATGATATAAGAAAATTGATGTCATCAGAATACATAATGAAAAGCGGAGCGAAGTTTATGAGAGTAATTTGTGGAGTAACGTCCGTGATGCACCCAATAATATATACTAGATATAATCAATTTTATCTATTTCCTAATGCATATCAAAGTGTCCTCTCCAGTTGTTAAGTGCGTCAAACGAGTTAGCTGTTATTTGATAACCTACATATCTCGTTATAACTGATATCTAGGTCACACGGGTCCATTTCCTGTGGTTTCTTAGTACAATTAGATGTTCTCTCCGCTCAGACACGCTATTTATATGGCATGGTCGAAATTAAAAAAAATATTTCTATGACAAAATCGTCAATATATCTGTTATGCCGTGTCATTTGATAACATGGCAATCATTTATTTTTCTTAAATGTTTTTTTTTTAATTTCCATTATTATCATTTTTATTTGATCACATGATAATGTAGCTGAAACTAAAGGATTTTTTTTTTGATTTTTTATTTCAATTCGATTATATACGGTTTGATGTTCTCTCCGCTCAGACACGCCATACAGTTGGCATGGGAGAAATTTAAAAATTATTTCGGAGGCAAAATCATCAATATTTGGTATACCGTTTTCATTTGATTACATGACAAGATAGCATAAACTACAGTTGTTGTTTTATTCATTTAATTTTTCCATTTTTATACTGTATGTTATTTTTGTATTTCCATTCGATTAGATACGGTTAGATGTTATAATTTTTCCCCCCTCAAACACGCCATACAGACGGCATAGTCGAAATTTAAAAACTATTTCGATATCAAAAGCATCAATATATCTGTTATGCCGTGTCATTTGATAACATGGCAAGCATTTTTATTTATTTATTTAATGATTTTTGTTTTAATTTCCATCATTATCTAATGTTAAACAATCGCACGGAGGCAATTACTCCAACACTGATACATTACGAACATGGCACGAAGCACATCATTCCGCCCGGTCCCATTATACTGACAACGGATGAATCATTTGTTGTCATTATCGTATATGCTAAAAGTTAAGCAGGGAATAACAACTACGATTTTTAAGGACTTCGGTATGTCCCTGTTGCGTCGAAGAACCCATTGCTTTCCAAAACTGCGAACGTTGTACATTAAAATCAAAAGTGGCGTATTATCAAGCAGGGCAATAGAAAACAAAGGGTAGTTAGAAGTAGAGATAAATAAAAAAAGATCCCACTTTTTGTATTGGGTGCAGCAGATTTATTTCGGTCGCTTTTGTGCCTCCAAATAGAGGGCACTGCGAAGCAAATCCCCTATTTTGCAGGCGTCTCACATTAGTCGCCTCATACAATCATCCAGTGGGTAAACAGAAGGAGTTTTTCTTTTCTCAATTCCCGACCTGCTGGGATGACCGATCTTTATGCATTACTTTATTCTATAATAAAACTGTAGTAACCAGAAATAGCTCGCACAACCCGATTTTGCGTTTTTTGAGGAATATATAAGAAATTATCTGAAAATTACAGTTATGTTGAAATGATATCAAACGGATAATTAAAACAGAGCCCGTTAACGTGTAACCGCTGGGCTCAGCAGACGCTCATGACACTGGCCAAGCCTAGGGGTATATATAACATATCATAACAAATGGGAATTCGTTCGCAATCCTCCATATACAGTGAGGTAATTCGCCTGGTCGTGTTACGTGGTGATAGTCAGACCGACTGTTTTTACTGACAGGACTAGACGTATGTATCCGCCTTTTGTCTATTTAATCACAGCGAGCTGACATTGGAGGTAATTGATATTTACAATTCTGAGATATCTCAGCACGTTTGTCTGGAACTTAACAAGCCTTAAGATACGTTGTCCGCCAATTTCTATAAAAAAATACATTTTTTTTCGTAAAGAAGGGGGGGGGGGGGGGGGGCGGGAATCTGACTATTTTCTGTTTTTCCCCGACATGATCCGCCCTTATATATAACAATTGATTTTTTCGCAAGAAAAAAAATGAAGAAGACATTATCATTTACAAAACTTCTTTTCTAGTTAATTCTTGTTGGAAAAAATATTGTTTCAAATGTCAGATTTTTGGCTCGAAGTCCTAAATTTCGAATTTACATATAGCAATACATTTTCTGACATATACAATACTTGAAATGCGTTTATAAGTAGGTGTGAAATTTAGCATTACTGTTATGCGCCGAATCAGTTTTAACCAGGAACATACCGGCGCCACAGCCTTCTTTTGGATTTGCTTGGGACTGTTCCGTGTAATGTTTGAAATGTGTACAGGCGGAGAGCTGTCAGTCTATACTAATAAATGGACTCCGTCTCAATCCACAGCATGCTTCCTTTAGCAATTTCAGATCAATTTATTATCAGAACTGAATATATAAAGTACAACAGATTCAACAAACTTGGCAGAAAGGCATTTGAAAACCGATATACGAACCGCGGATCTGGATGTGAAGTTTGAACTAGCACTATTGTCATTTTGAATGTAAGTGGCCCACTGTTCGGCTTTCTCGTTCGATAAGCGTTTTAGAACAGCCTATATTTGGTATCCTCAAACAAAACTCGCTTGTTCCTTCCGAAATGGTAATCAGAAGGCGCTTACACTTTCGGAGCACCTGGTCTTTTTCTTGTACGTTTGCAAGGGTCTCCATGTAGAATTTCCTTGTTTATTGATTTTTAGTGAGAATTGTATTTTTGACACTTCGGTTTATATTCTTGTGTTGTTTACTCCTCTTTCTTGTTTACTAAATGTAAAAATGAAATGAAATGTAGTTCATCGATTCGTTGAAAGGCAATTTCAGATAAGTTAAATATTTAATATAATTCTGGTAATTTCAACATTAACGAAGTTATATGTTCCTAGGTGTGTAGTTTGGTTCCTTAGTTTTAAAACGCTGACCAAGGACATCAGAATAGTATTTGGACAAATTGTAATGGCAATGAATCAATTTAACGTTCGGCTTGGATGAGTTATAACGCGTCGGAAAAAGAACTTTAAAGTTGATAATTTAGAGTGAAAATGATGGTGACAGATTGCTGCCATTAACGAACTAGTAACATATGGCAACATATAGTAACATGTATTAACAAATGGTAACATGTAGTAACATAAAGTAACATATAGTAACATGTAGTGACATGTTGTAACATGTAGTGACATATAATAGCATATGGTAACAAAGTAAGATGTAGTAATATATAGTAACATATGGTAACATATAGTAACATATAGAAACATATGGTAAGATATTAATTCAAAATATGTTGACTTGGTATATACAAGTCAAAACATTATATTTACATTTACACTGCAAGTTCATCTACGGGCATAACAATAAGAAATTGCATTAATAGGGCTATACATGTAATTGGATCAGCGTCATTTCGAAGCTTCCCCCACCGCCTCCTAAAACACAAGACAACCACTAGAAGCAAAAATGTTGATGACGTTAGGCTGTTCCAGGAATCTGGTTTGCACTGACGATATTTTTTCAATGTTCATACCTGTATGAACGCAAATCGGTTACATGCATATTTACAATAAACAAGGTAAATATTTGGTAATTTTATGGAATATGTATGTAACAGATTGCGTTCATATAATTATGAAATTGAAAAAGATGCCATTCAATCCTCATCTCAGAGGATTTCGACATCATATATCAATTACATGTACAAGTATATCGACATTAAACCGCCCGTTCTGAGACAATTTAGTTTTTTATCGTGTAAGTTGGCGGATATGAAATCGACTTTCCGCATATTCATTTAGTTATACTGCCGACATACGAAACCCAAAACGAGGCATATTGGTGAGCAAATCTAATAAGTTTAAGATATTTGTGCATCACATGCTAATTCCTTGGGTAACCATTGGTTAACTCCCCTTGTTATGCATTCCATAAATAAACGGAAAGTCGATGTCAAATACAAGCATTAACATAATTTAAAATCCGAGTTACCTCATTATTTGGCAATTATCTCGATAAAAGTTTCTCGGAATGTGATAATTTCAAATTCTGTAGAGAGATTCCAAAAAATGTTGTCGACATGTTCTTAGATTATGTCGATATCGTTTAAAGATACATTTTGTATGTCGACATATTCCGTCTTTGCGTATTGCAGAGTTAGCTTCGCGGGTGTGCAGGTATTGATTGTTACGTCATTGGTTTGTGTGAGAAAACTACGTCGTTTTCTTAAAAATTGATGACGTTACTCTCACAAACAAATGACGTAACAAGCAATACCTGCTCACAAGAACAGATAACTCTGCAATACGCAAAGACGGAATACGTATTTCGTAAGATGAATGTCAATGGCAGAAATAAGTCACCATAGAGAGGCATGCACGGTTTATTGCCATTTGTAACCCCCATCTCTATCGATCACTGATATCTGTCAGCTGTAGTGTGGCTGGGCATTACAACTGTTCCGGCGTATAAAAACTCAAACAACCCTCTGACGAATATCTTCAAATACTCTCAATCAATACCGCGATTAGAGCTGTTCGTTCACCAGATTCAATCTGACAGGGCGATGCGTGTTTTTTTTTTATAACGATGTCATCTAATTTACCATGAGATGTGCAGTGTAATGGACTGAAAGTAGAACAGGCAACATCAGGGGTTACTTCCTAATAATAACTAATAATGATGTTTTTATCGTGAGGAATGTTATGACTTATATTTTTTTGTGCATTATTAAAACTGAATACGTATTCATTAACAATGAAACAAAATGTGTTTCTGTTTAATACGTCTTCTTGAATTGAATTTTAAGAAGAAAAGTTACAATTTTGTTTTTAATATTTCAACACAACAACATCAACAAGTGCACCGACTTCACATACATTCGATGTTATTTGCCACAGATTTTCAGTAAGTTACGCGGTGTCAGATTTATCCACACGGCCAGGTATAACAGATATATAGATAATTGTATTTTAACTCTCTTTCTCAGGTAAGCTAAATATTATACGTTTTTTAATTCATAAATAATAATAGTAATAACACATTCTTTATTTAAAGAGATAAATGACTGAGCAATACCAGTGAATACTAATTTTTAGTCATGTCCTCATTCATTTCATTCATTCGTCTAAATAATTCATTTACATTCAATTCATACAATTAATGTATTCATTTATTCAAATAATTCATTCATTCATTCTTCATTCATTCATCAATTCATTCATTCATCAATTCATTCATTCATCAATTCATTCATTCATCAATACATTCATTCATCAATTCATTCATCTATTCATTCATCAATTCATTCATTCATCAATTCATTCATTCATCAATTAATTCATTCATCAATGCATTCATTCATCAATTCATTCATTCATTCATCAATGCATTCTTTCATTTATTAATCAATTAGTTCTCTCGGTCACTAGTAAATTAATATATTCATAACATGGACTACGTTTGTTCAAATCATGATTCGAAAGACACATAAGGGATAACCCTGAACCGTCAAAGTGCTACGTACTTTTACCAAACTTTAAGCTACCGATATTTTACCCCAAAAGAAGATTAAGTACTGTACACCGGAAAAAATGTACCCTGTCAAACTTTCGCCCTTCGCCCATATAATCTTTTTTCGCCCAGTGTTAATTTCGGCCTTTACATATAGTTCCAATGTATATTATGATGTTTACCTATATTCGCTGCAATGATGAATTCGCCCTAATCACAGTGGGCGATAAAGGTAAATATCAAACTGCATCGAAAATGTCCCTGTATGCCGTAACGCATTCTGTTTTCTTTTAGAACTTGAAGCGTCCGTCTACAACCGTAAAAAGATTGAACAGTTCATTCTCTCTTGTTTTCTTTCAGGGCTTCAAGCCTTCGGTTTACTACCCCAAACAGAACAAGAAAGATCTGTTCACGAACCTAATGAAGCAGTGTGAGGGGATGGACATGCCTTTTCTCTCCTTCTTTCCCTCCGAGGCTCACCTCATCACACAGTCCTACAACCTGGTCGTGGACGCCTTGTTTGGCTTCAGCTTCAAAGGTCCGCCCCGGGCTGACTTCGCCAACGTACTACAGACCTTAGCCAAAGTGGAAATCCCTATTTGTAGCATAGACGTACCCTCGGGTGAGTTCATTTCGGCCAAGTCAATTGTCAACGTGAAACGTTGGCCCTGTTTTATTTTTGTTTATTTCGCCAAAAGGAGTAAGCGAATTCAGCAATGCATAAAATTTGATAACATCACACTAGATTAATTCAGGATTAACTTGAATATATTTCTCATGTTATGGAAATATAGCACAAAAAAACGGAGTGTACTTCGCGGTTAATCATGAGAGTACACTCCAGTTTTTTTGTGTTATAGCTCCATAACATGAAAAATATATTCAAGTTAATCCTTATAATTTAATCTACTTTACACAATCCCTGTGGAAATCCACTTTTATTGATGACTCTTTTCTCTTAGAAATTATTGCGCTGCTGTATCATCCAATCAAAAGCGACGTTACAAACGGCGACGTCATTTTTTTACGTTATGGGCTGATGACATAAATTTGTAAGCCAATGAAAATGCTTGTTACAAGCAAGATTAAATTTAAGTCATTCTACAGTTACATTTAATAGATACAAGTCTCTATCGTCCAGTATTGTGTTTTGTCTCGCCGACACGAAGTAGGGGCAGCGATATTAAGGTGTTGCTTTTCCGGCGACGGCGGCGGCGTCAACATTAAATTTTTGCGCTTAACTTAGTTCCACTGAATGCTCATGTAGTACAAATATTTTGTATGTTAATGTGTGCCAAGAAGCCCCTGAGTGGCCCTGTCATCCGCCGACACCGGTTTCACATACCTAAGCGGCTGCATATTTAAACTCGCCTTTTCAAAAAGTAGAGTGACTTATGTATAGTTACCTCTCCGTCGACATTTCTTGACGTTGCCAGGTAAAATGTTTGCTGAACGTTTGAAAGTTAATTGAATTTATTATTTCATATTAACATTTGCACTGCGAGTTCTTCTATAAGCATTTCCAAAAGAAATAGCGTCCACAGAGCTGTAAACACAATTCGATCAGCGTCATTTTGAACCTTCTCCTACCGCCTAGAATAACAAGATACAACCGTTAGAAGCAAACATTTTTGTGATATACATATAAGGCTGTTCCAGGAATCTCGTTTTCGCTGTCGATAGAGACACTATCATATCGAAAATATCAGGGAATATCTGTATTTCGATATATAACAACTAAGCATTTACAATGTAAATATAAGGATTGAACGGCATTTTTCAATGTTCATGCCGGTATGAAATCGAAGAAATTACCGTTTAGTCCTTACATAACCTTAGGAACCCTGTACTGGACCTGCTATAATGTTTGCATGTCATTGCATGAGGCACATAATGTGGAACGACATGCAATGTCGGGAGTTATAATCTCGTAAGGGACGTTGAACATTCAGCTTGCGACCCTAGTGTTTTCTTTTCTATACTACCTTCTTGTAACTTTGTGTCCACATCTGCACTGTGTTTTCATTAATATGTAAATTCCTAAATAACATACATGAGAAATACTTGCATTTGGCATACGAGTTCCCTATTTTTAACCTGTTTTTGACTGAATTTTTTTTTCTCTTACATTTTGATGCAAGTGTTGAAATTGAAAAAAAGAAAAGGTGTTTTTATTTTTATTTTTCCTTCGACGTATTTTCAACCGAAATAAAGCATACAACACAAATAATAGGATCAATGTGCTTAGTGTGTCGTTAGGATATTTAGGTCACGATATTCACTGTTACTCAGCATTATAAAGCATTGTCTTGCCTGGTAATGAACACTAATAAAAGTCTATGTTATAATTAGTAAGTTTTATTTTAGCGTTGTACCAGTTAGTGTTGGTTTCCCTATAGAGACCCAATTCAGTGTTGTACTTGCGCGCTGATGCCTGACATTTCCTGGTTATTTCGGTTTTATTATTTGGTGGAGACAGGGTAATATATAGGGATATATTCAGGAACTGAGATGTTTCAGTAATCCGTATATGGTAATTGGGTATATCCTCAGACGTGTCTTCTCCCTGATTTACTTGATAATGTCGCCGAGAACACGGAACACGAAATTGATCAGCATTGCATGCCATTCCGTGTCCGCACACTGATCAGAGTATATTCTGAACACAATCACAATACAATTAACAAAATCCCGGTATAAATAGATTTGTCCTTTGTAGACTGCCTAATTCACTTCCATTGTTACCGGTATCCGGAAACGGGATAATGACCCTCTCCTATCTTATATACAACCTTGTGGTCATTACCACCACAGGGGCATTGGTATCTGATTCTATGTGGATACCAAGAGTCAACGCAGGACCTACATCATGTAGTTGTATACGAGAACGTACAGACGTTATAACATCCGCAACAATAATAATAATAACGATTCGACATTCCTATATACCGCTTTATCACAACCAAGTTCGTAGGTCGTCTCAAAGCAGTTCACAAATTATTAACCGTGGTTATAGGGCCTTTACAACTATACAATAGCTTACTCAACTCCCTGGGGAGCATACAGTCGGTACTGCCATTTCGGCGCTCACAGCTAGCATTCAACAATTCTAGCACTGCCCAGCCAGTTACTCATTGACAGCTGAGTAGACTGGAACAAGCGGAGTAAAGTATATTGTTCAAAGATACAACACAGTGCCGTGACGTGACTCGAACCCGCAACCCTTTGGTCACGAGCCCGAGACCATTGGACTACCGTGTTTATGTAAACCACTGAGGGAAACCCGATTCTTTTTGGTGTTTTGGCCCAAAATGACTTAAAGTATTAAAGAGCCGTTAAACAAAAAATTAAAGACAAATCCTATTACTGTAGTAGGTTATAATAGGAGTGATTAAGTGAGTTGGTATCCAATGTATATGCAATATAATGATATTGTGTACATTTATTATAATCAAGGTATATCTTATAGATAAAAGTGACTCTCATGTTATTGGTGATATTCATTGGGTAGTACATTTCTTCTTCCTCTTTAAAGCTATTTAAACTATTGAAAATCCGTAATGTAATTTATCATGTAATTATGAATATCTTTTGTCCAAAATGGAGTATTGCTATTGTATATTTTTTACGTTTCTTTCTGTGTTCAGTTTGTTTCGTTACCTTGCAGTTTATATGTTTTATTATTTTGTGTTTTCTATTTGGTTTTATTTTCGTTCCGCTTCTGGAAAAGACTTGTTCATTTCTGTTGCCAACATGCATTGAAAAAGTACATATATGTCACGAAAGCGTTATTTTAAGTTAAAAAATAAAAACTTTAAGGCAATGCGTCGTCAGGACTATCAGGATTACTGATAGCGTTGTCATGACTACCAGGTTCATTAATAGAGTCTGCAAGAGTACCAGGTTAACTGATAGCGACGCCATGACTACCAGGTTAACTGATAGCGACGCCATGACCACCAGGTTAACTGATAGCGTCGCCATGACTACCAGGTTTACTGATAGCGTCGTCAAGCCTACCAGGTTTATTGATAGCGTCGCCATGACTACCATATTTACTGATAGCGTCGTCAAGACTACCAGGTTTACTGATAGCGTCGTCAAGACTACCAGGTTTACTGATAGCGTCGCCTTGACTACGAGGTATACTGCTAGCGTCGTCAATACTACCGGGTATACTGCTAGCGTCGTCAGGAGGACTACCAGGTATCCGATGGTGTCGTCAAGACTACCAGGTATATTATAGCGTCGTGATATCTGAAATCCAGGTTTTTTAATAGCTGCGTCGGGACTACCAGGTATGTGACGGCATCGTCGGGACTACCAGGTATGTGACGGTGTCGTCGGGACTACCAGGTATGTGACGGTGTAGTCAGGACTACCAGGTATGTGACGGCATCGTCGGGACTACCAGTTATGTGACGGTGTCGTCGGGACTACCAGGTATGTGATGGTGTCGTTAGGACTACCAGGTATGTGATGGTGTCGTTAGGACTACCGGGTATGTGACGGTGTCGTCGGGACTACCAGGTATTTGATGGTGTCATCAGGACTACCGGGTATGTGACGGTGTCGTCGGGACTACCAGTTATTTGATACTGTCGTCAGGACTACCAGGTTTATTATAATAGCGTCATGGTATCTGAAAGCGTCGTCAGGACTTTCAGGTATATGATAGCGGTCTGAAGACTACCAGAAGCGTTTGTCTGCGTGCCAAGTTTCTATTTCTTATCTGCCCTTTCAACGATTTTTATTATCCTTGATTTGCCGTTCAATAAACCTATAGTGCAGTAAGATGGACGATGAAACGTTCACTCATAAATGTATTAGGATTTCCTATCGGTATATGAAATCCAATTTATCAAATTGTTTTTTTCTCGCAAATCAGTTTTGTCATAAATACTTCTCGTTCTTATTCCATTTCCTGACATTCACTTTCGCCAATAAAATGCTATTTTTCCTGATACGACGTCACTGTTCATTATCACACCTCTGTCTCCTGTATTCATGAAAGAGTTCTGGTTCACAGCGCATTACACCCCGAGCTGATTTACCCGGTGTCACGTGCTGTTAAAGAAAGACGAAATGTACCTGTTTAATATATTGATTATATGATGACTTTAAAAAACCATTACATACTGGTTTTTAACACTAAATTAACATTAGTGTTCCGGCCCGTCACTACAAATTATCAAAATAGATCAAGGTCACACTATAGAAATCCACGATACATGTTATATATGGGTCCATACTCTTAAGCCTGATAATATTGGCCTAATTTGACAGTAGGGACGCGTAACCATATCTCTAACGTTTGTCAAACGAATGCAATAATGTCCCACTCGTGATCCACGTCGGCCGTGACAGGTCGTACACGGAATTAAATATGGGAGTTTTGTCAGGCCGAATAGCGTATGTCTTTCCTCTAGTTACATTGACAGTAATATTTCTGTCGTATCACAAGAAAACAGTCCTTGTTGCACGAAAACTAACTGTTCAAGAAAAGCTAGCATGACTACAAGAAAACAATACACCAGTTCTGTGCGGAAAACCGTCTGACTACAACAAAATACAAACAAGCGTTGTATGGCAAAAAGGTCTGGCTGCAGGAAAACGAAACAT